TTTACTAATTGGCTAACATCCATAAAGTTGACTGGACGTAATTTTCGTATTCAAAAGAATATTCGAGATGGTTGATTTATAACGTAATTTGTAAAAAATAACGTCATCTAAGCTAATTAAAGCAAAATGAAAATATTTTTGAGAAAAATATGTTTTTCTTGTGTTACTAATTGTAAACAAAGTAGTTAAAAGATTTTCTTTTAACTGGCAAACAACCAAGTGTTTTTTGTGTGACCAATAGTTGTAACAAAATTGTAATTATATTATTGAACTGTCTAAGGTGATTGATCATTAACCATAAAGTTGACTAGCCGTTATTTTCGTGTTCAAAAGAATACTCTCCATTTTTTATGTTTTTAATGTAATGATTATAGAAAAATATATATTTTTTTTTAATTTCTTCACTTTATTTACCTTTATTTCTTGTGTTTTAGAATTCGTATGAAAATATTCTATAGATAAGTAAAAAATAAGTATTTATTTGTAAATCAAGAATTGTTAAGTTTTATTACAAATTAATTATATTTTGATCTTCAGAAAAGTATTTTGAATTTTGGTTCATATGATTGAAAAATTATTAATTTATTTAAAATTTTATTACTATAACAATTTTGTTTATATTTCGATTTTGTAACAGTTTTTTTTTTAAGGAATTTTTGGAATTATGAAAAGATATTTTTGATGTTCAGAAAAGTAATTTTCTATTTGTTATATATTTTGATTCTTGCATTAAATTTTTATTACAAATGGATTAAAGGTTAATAAATTGAAACGTTTACATTTTGCTAATATTTTTAGGGAATTTGGAGAATTGTTGGATCACGTACATGAGAAAATCATGAAGAGAAACTAGTTGTGTGTCTATGTGAATAAATTTAATATCCAGCCTGAAAACATCTAATTAAGTGTAAATGCATTGGAAATAAATTGATTTTTTTGTTGTATAATTAGTTGGAGGATCTGCTCTGCTCTCTGGACTCCTGCACCTGGGGCATCGATTCGTAGTACCGCTGATACAGAGGAGACCTGGACTTGGCGAGCCAAAGCTCCAGGCGAAGGCTCGGATCCAGTGCGAGAGGCAACGGTTCGGAGAGATCGCTGCGCTTCTTCATGTAGTTGAAGCAGCACGTCTTGAAGTTCCTGGTACCGCAGGCGTTCTCACACTCCATCCCGCAGGAGTTGCAAGAGCGCAATTCTCTGGAAGCCATAGCTCCAACCACTGTTCCAAAAAAATAAATAAAGAATTGATTATTGTTGTTGATGAATTATGATATTAATAGCTTACCCAAGATAAAAATCAGAATGAAAACCTTCATGTTGCTCTAGGATACGACGTCGTGGAAATTCGAGACGGTTCTGGGCAGAGAGTCGCGGAAAATTCGCTATTTATACGGGAAATCTGCTGGCGAGGATGCAAATCGTGCCACGGCGATGATGTTTGATCTCATAAACATTATCTTATCAAGTGAGCGTGTGTCACTTTCATAAACCAATCACATCAAGGAGGGAAAAGCGCGAAAAAGTTTCGCAAAAGATTAAATTAGTTTTTCCCTTTGGGAAAAAAACACGGGACGGAGGGAAGCGATCGGAATTTTAAAAATTAAATTACCGATTCCGCGGCTTTGATTGGATTTATGCAAACGCGATAGTCGAGGATACTTTGTATCGTTGTTTTTTTTGTTGTTGTTGTTTGTTTTCCTTTTCCCTCTAAAAAACAAAGGGGAAAATGAGTCTATCGGATCCGCGTTATCGAATTGTAAAAGTGTCCAATAACTCGCGGCTCCATTATTTATTGTTGCACCGATCAGACTTTCAATCCAATATCCGAAGGATCATAAAATTGTAGGGATCGAAGCGCCGCGCCAAACAATACCCTTTCTGGTTTATTGCAATACCTGTTCTTGGAAATGTCTTCGATGCCATCTTAAGGTTTACCATTGGTAGATTTCGCACACCCCTACCACCCTTCTTTTTGGGTATAAAAGGGGATACTCTTGCCCAGCGTCTTCACTCTGCACTTGCTTTCGGTACATACAACAGTACCTGCAATAGCATCTTCACCTCGCTTTCAGTATTTGCAATAATACCACTACTTTTCTGCAAATTTTCAGTTAAAAAGCCGGTTTTCTGAACCAGCATCTTCACTTTCAACTTGCTTCTGGTACTGTCAACAATACCATTAACAGCTTCTTCATTTTTACTTCGATATCGATAACAAATAAGATACAAGATGTACTCAAACATTACTTTAAACGAGTCAGTCACCGTAAGTAGAACTCGCTTGATAAAGAAATATAAGTGTTTAACTCACCATCTTTCAATCCTCTAGGTAGCCTCGGTTTTGAAGCAGAACGCAGCTCGTGCACCACTTGGAGACATTTCCAATTACCACCTGAAGCAGTGGAATAACATAAATTGTAAGTACAGACCCTCGAAGAGATTTACTAATATACTAATTCATCAAACTTTCAACAGTCCACCAGGTTGATTCGCCAAGAGGTAGCTTCAACAAGAAATCGTGTGTTAGGGTTTCTCCAAGAAGCTGCGAAACGGAGACGCAGAAGTTTACACCGATTACCAGCATCTACCGTGAATTGATCGAAAATCGCCGTAATCATTTGATGAAAAATTTGTTTAATGACAAGGATCAGGTGGCTGAAGATAAGAAGAGTCCTTCAAAAATCCCACTTGTACGC